CGGAATGATGTAGATGTTGTTCATTTTCCAAATATTTGCCAACTTTCCAAATAAGTTGTTACTGATCTCTAATTTAATTTCCTTATATTCAAAGGAATTATGACATAATCATGCTTATGCTCCGAGGTTCTACAAAACGTTGACTTGCTTGTTGGTATGTTTACTTCAGCTACCAATCAGCTAATACTACATCAGATTACAATCTCTCCTTCTGAGGACAGTGTTTCCAATGGCAGGCCCATGTTCAAAAGCTTGACTATGCCATGTCCCTCCTATAGAACACTCAGGCAATGTATGGAACTGTGCCAGTGATTTAAATCACAGTTCAGTTTTCTAAACCTTTGCTACACTTCTTTAAGGTATTTCACACATGCATAACTTCGAGTGAAGTGAGTGCCTGTGTCTGTTTATACACAGAATTAAGGATGCTTCCTCTCCTGGATTTGCCTCCATGCTCTCCAAATCCAAGGGCTTCTTGTCCCAGTTCCACAGGCCAGAGTGATGGGTTCCTTCTGAATTTGAGCTTCTCACACTGTCACACAGTTCTGATGGCCTGCTTCCCATAACAGAATGGCAAAAGACAAAAAGGTGAAAATTATAGAAACTGCCCCCAAAAATTCTTTGCATAACATAGTTACCTTTTCCTGGCTCATCTAACCAGACACGGGCTCCAAGTCCTGCCACAGCCCTACAACCACACAGATGTTCCACTGGGGTGGGTCAGAAAAAGAAACAGGATTCTCCTCATAGTCTCTGATACCTTTCAGCCCTCTGTCGGGAAAAGGCAGGCTTCTCTGGAAGTTGTTGCTGGGTATACCCACTATACAACTCCAGAATTCAGCCCACCCTGGTGTCAAAGTTAGAAGTTAGAAGAGAATGACAACAGGAAGCTCCCTGCCATTGTTCATGTTTCATCTCCTCCCTGATCAGCCTGTTATTATTTATTTTTCAGAGTTCCCAGGTAGATGTTTTTGTATTTGTCCAGAGTTTTTAGTTGTGGGAGACATAGGCCATCATAGCCAGAGACAAAGTTTATACTCACTTTTTAAAAATAATAATAAACGTTAACTCCTCAACAAATCTCTGAATGTAGTTTTACTCTCCAAATATCAGCTTTGGGAAAATGTCATGAATCCTTTTTATGAGTAATAAATAATTTTAAATTTATAAAACTAAATGTTAAAAAAACAAATATTCATATTCTATCACATAGAAATTAGCAGTTAACTTTTTGAATATACATTTCCAAACATTTTTATACTCTTAAGTAACAGAATTTTTCCTTCAGAACTTCAATTTTTTATGTAAACTGCCTCTATAACTCTTTTACATTTAGATAACTTTGACTTACTCACAAAATCGGACACATTTGATCATTTGTAGAAAACTATAGTCAAAAGAGAAGCCTAAGTATATTAAAAATGTGCTTAGTTTCCCTACAAGATTACTGCATAGTCTGAAAATAGACGGGTTCTAACCTATCAGAAAAACATGAAAATTATAAAAAATTGTCTGAAACTACATACTGATTTAATGAGAATCAACACAGATGATGTCATCTCTAAGCACTCCATTAATGAGTACAGCCTATCTCCCTTCCTCGTCAGTAAAATTACAGTAGAAAAAGGAGAGCGTTTGGGGGAAAGGAAAAGAGAAAAAAAAAAGTATGAAAAACAGAAAAAAGGAGAAGATGAGAAGAGACAAAAAAAACTATATAATTATGTAATTAAGATTGCACATAACATTATCAATTCAATTATAATATTTTAACAGATGAAAATTGGTCTTCCTGTGTGTAATTTTTCTTTTAAGCCACCAGTAAGCAATGACCATGATTTTTTTATTTTTGTAATATGTTTATTATATCGTCCTTCATTTTTGTACAGTGTGTGGTTTCCCCGCGAAATCCCCACCACCACTTCCCCCTGGGCACCATCACCATAGTCCTGTGCTCTTCCTATCCATCTTTATCCTTCTCCCTCCTCCTCCCCTGCAGAATGTTTCTGATCTAAAGTTGCCTGATGACTCTGATTTTTACTTTATTACAGTTACTTCCAATGACCATGATTTTTAATAACATAATTCAAAAACTTCATGGAACAGAAGTTTCCAGTTATTTCAGCAAGTCAAATTTTCCCCATCCTCTTCTGTACCTACAAAAATACGAAAAGGATCCAAGTATCTGCTTATTTTGTTATTTTTTATTGAATGCTATATAGGTAAATAAATACCCCAATTCCTACAGAAAATTCACTAGCACCTTTCAGAAATGAACTTAAAAGTATGTGTATTATTTTCCTATCATCTTAACATGAGAACTTCTAAAAAGCAAATGAAACTTCAAATAATCCCTATTTGACATCAAAAGCCTCCAAAAGTCCCTGAATAGCTATTAAAGTATTAAAATAATTATAAAATAAACCATTAGGTCTAAAATTTGAAAAAAAAAATCAAGTAAGATAATGTTTCAAGTTTTGTGCAAAAGGCGTACTTAGAGTGTTTTCACAGTGATAGGGAGGTTAACAGCAAAAGGGAGTCTATGCAAAACCCCAGTTCTAAGCCCATCACCAAAGTCAAAAAGGTTAAAGATGGGCCTCCTTGGTGCTATAGGGTTAAAATATTAGCACTATCAAGCCACTGCAGCATGAGTTCAATCCCCAGCCAGGGAGCTGACCCACATGGTACAGCAGACCTCTCCTGTCCTGTCCACTGCTCCCCTCAGCAGTGTACTCCAGTATATCTGCCTGTTCTGCTCCCCATTCTGTCTCTGGCAAATCCCTTCACTCCATATCCCCACACCTCTGACCTAAAACCCAATTCTTGTATGCAAAAATAAATAAATAAATATTTTTTAAAGGTTAAAGATTATGAAAAAATAATACAAGGGATTATAATTGCTAGGTTTAATAAAATAAGTCTTTACTTGAATTATGTATTGCTAGAAAAAAAACATTAATATACTCCTGGGGATGGATATATTTGGAAAAATGTATTGTTTTTAACCAAAAAAAAAAAAAAACCAGAAAATTCAAAATCTAGAATATCTAACATTCATGCCATCAAAGCAAAAATATATATAGATGACAAAATTCTCTCTGGCTATTAACTAATCATTCATAGGAAGAAAGAGAAAACATATCCATGGCACATTCTCAGACAAAAGCAAAATCAAAGCAAAGTCTAAGTTTTCTAATACACTGGATATTCTTAAATTATTCTACCATGATCAAGAGATACAGTTCAACCTGATTAATGCATACATGTCATGAATATATAAAAATGCAAGACTTTTATATTTTACAATGTTAGTGCATTCTTTGAACAATAAAAATGTAAAACAAAACCCCAGGCAGGCCTAGTTTTAAGGCATCACCTCAAAATACTTCAGATTTAATTTCTACTAGACAAGTGAAAATTTTAGTCCTCTGAAACAGTTAAATAGTCGTGAAAAGTACTCCATATGCTACAAAATATACATCAGAACTTTCAAATGGCTAAGGGCAAAGACAAGATTAAAAGGATAGTTCAGAATTTTATTTTTCACTTTGATTTTGCTATTTGAAAAAGGATTTGTCTGTCTAAGGGACACCCTCTGTTCTTCTCACAGTGATAACATAACTCTGCTCCAGCAGCAACTTCCACTACACCTTCAAACATGAAAATATTTTACTTTTGACTTATTACTCTCTACTCATTATCAATTCTGTTTCTCTCTTCCCTTTCAACCCCAGTCCCCAGATTCTCACTGCCTTAAATTCCTATCCATTTCCCTACTTCTAGGCCAATACCCTGCCCAGCCATCTCAACTCAAGGACCAGAGCTCTTCAGTCTCTGGATGAAGCTCCACCACTACCAATGAAATAAGAGTCCAGTCCTTGGGTCTCATGACAGTCCAAACTTGAACTCCACCATGGATGTCACCACCTCTTCAAATTTCACCATTCTAAAATAAAATTCTAAGTTCATAAAGCAGATTCCCCATCTGACCAGCCGGCAGAGAGTAAGCATTCCCATTCCCCTAGTGCTCAGCCCATCACTCACTCACTAAGGATCTGTCTTCTCTTTAATGTTACTCCTTTCCTTTGTCACAAAAGTCACTAGCCAGTGGAGGCCACTAGTGACCTAACAGATGATGGGTCCCCCGTCTCCATTTCCCTAAAGTAACAGCATTCATGAATGGCCATTATTAGTAGGAAGTGTTTTAGATTTCTAAAAAATATTCATACCTAACATTAATTCAAAAGTGATAAAATTGACAACGCTATATATTGCTTATTAGCAAACAAAATGGTGTACACCTTCTGGAAGGCAATACTAAGATGTAGTATAGCCTGAGAAAGCAAACAAATATGTCTACAAATGTGATGTGAGGAGGGACATAAGCCTCCAGAGCTCTCTGCTGCTTAAAATTTTTAAACTGAACTTCTTAATTTAGCATTCAAAACTCTAAAACAATCCAACTGAAAACGTGCCCATGAATCCTCCACATAAAACAAGAAGAGCCAATTGTGATTATCTATACACCACATTTGCCTTCATGTCTGCACGGCCTTCAGTCCCTGGCACCTCATCTGCACCTACCTAGACACATCCATGCCCCTCGGCCTTTGTAACAGACAACTGCTGTCCAAAGTGCAGCTCATCCATTAAATCTTCCTGAGTTTTTTTTAACTCAAGGATTTGCTATCCTTGCTTCTCCAAGGCCACACTTCCTTCTTCTCCACCCCAGTAATTCTCCATTCTCTATAATCCGCTATTGTATGAGTATTTTATGCCTAAATTGCCAATAAGAATGCCAGCTGGTCAAGGACAGGCTCTATGTTTTGCTTCTTTATAATGCAATTTCTCTGTCCTATACTCAGAATTCTTCTCAGCACTAATATAGTACTAAATGTTCAACATCTAATAATATTCACTGAATAGGAATGAATTAGTTCAGAAGTTTTCTAAAACAATATGATTTGCCACATCAATACATACATAAAACAAATGTTTTTTACCCCAAGATTCCAACTGTTTAGGCGAGCTTCAATGTCACTGTCATCCAAAGAAATGGCAGATTTTTTTGGTTGAACTTCCTGAAATACAAAAGAAAAAAGGGAAGAAGGCATGGAGAAAAGAAAACAGGGAAGGAGGGAAGAAAGGAGAGAAAGGAGGGAGGTAAAGAGGAAGGGGAAGGATGGGAGTGGAAAACAGAAAAGAAGAACAAAATCAGGACAAAACGTCATTCAGAGTAATGAGAATTCTGTGTGCTTTTGTGTCAGTTCCACAGGGCCCTCAGAGAAAAGGAGTACATTACAACTGAGCTAGAGTTCTCAATTCTAAGTAATGACCGCTTATTGTAGCTGCTTTGGGCTATGAGATGCCTTCACAATATATTCACACAGTAACAGTAACTAGATTTCAAAAAAAAAAAAAAAACATCAAAAGAATATTTTAAAAATTAATCCAGACTCTTCTCTTTAAGTTCTTTAACAAAAAGTTTTAATTGTGGTATACCACAGTAGCTTTAAAGGGAGGTGGGGGAACACTTGAAAAGATGAATTATTTACTCTCGTTAAAATTATTTAACAGGAAAGTTTGTGTTGATGTCCAAGAAACTCTTTGTTGTTAATTCTCATTCATACACTGAATATAAAGAGAACTAAACTTTGGATTTACATCATGAAAACACAATTATAATGATTCTTTACTTGATTTAAGAAAGGACAGTCCTGTTTTGTTCCTCCCATACAATTTATTATATTGCACATTTATCAAATCAGATTAAAATTATAATTAACTGAGCGCAGTCTAGCCAGAAATGGCCACAGTAATGAAAATTTTAAAAACTTACAAAGGTAAATCTGTGCGAAATAATAATGATTATTCTACAGCCAAAATAAGTATGTTTTAAAATTAAATTTATGGGAACAGCATTTTGATGCTTTTAGAAATTCCACAATACTAACAAATAAATGTATTTATTTATGACTATTTATCTAGAGTGATAATAAAAACACACTAAAATGTTCACATTTTACTTCATCTCCAAATTTCTACTAAACACATTTTGATTTTATTATTTGTATACTACATTAAAGTTCTTCATTTCTTCTATCATTGGTCTCCTTTTTGTGTATTTCTTTGTGAATAAGACTTTCTTAAGAAAATGTAGCTGCCTTGTCTTTTGAATAAATACAGGGACTGGTAATAAAACCATAAGTATTTCAAAAGTGCTGCCATTTTTGAAAGTTCTAAACTTAGCGAGTTGTGTTGAGAACAGTATGTGCTAAAGCAGTCACACATCTCACGTGCTCTCCTTGAACTAACGTCATGTAGCCCAAGACAAGCCAGAGTGAGGCAAAAAAGACTGCAGCAAGCAGGCAAAGTTCTTCCACTCTGCAGTCAGGCAGAGCTCACTAACACCTGTTCAAACCAAACTACGGTAGCAGGAGGCACAAGAGTGCCTAGAGTTAAACTTCTGAGAGAAGCCGCATTCCTTACATCATCACAAGTTAACCCCAACTTTTTAATTCATTGCCACAGGTGTCTAACATCTTCAATCATACTTAGGGTGCATGAGAAAAGAAGAAAAAATGTCACTAAGCATGAAGGTCTCCAGTTGTTCGTGAAGGCACAGGAGAAGTTAACAGACCAACGAACCTGATGTCTTAAGTTCAGAGAAAACGGAAGAAACAGGCATATACCAGACACCCCGTTCTCTTTGATAGGTAGCAGGTGTGCATCAAAACGTTCAGATTTTATTCACTGCTTTCCAATATTTGTAACTTTGACATTTTGAAATTTTTGGAGCTATTTTTTAAAAATGAACAAAAAACCCACAAACGTGGACTCTGATCTTACACAAATCTTTGTGGTAACGTTTTCTCCATCTTCTCTGTAGGATGGACTCACAGAATGTGACCTCATTTGGAGCTTCACAGTGTATTGCTCCCTGTTAACAGACCAAAATAAACAATAAGAATTTGATTAATCCAGCAAACATAAAGATATTCAAATATAAAATTACCAAACTTTTTGGAAGACTGAGTTTTTAAGAGTGAAGGAAAAAGTATGCATAATAACCACTTGCATTTCTCATACTATAGCTCATTTAAGCTAAACTAGAGAAAATTTATTACCTAAATTCCACATACTTGCTTACAAATACTATTTTTAAGTGAACTTTAGTAAAGTACATACATTTAAATATTTTCTCCTCCATTACTCTTTTCCTAACTGTAGGAAGGGGAAGGCAGGGAAAGAAGTTGTGGATCCAAGAAGAGGTCTCAAAATTTTTAAATATCAAAATCTTCACACCGCTTAAAGTTTCAATTAATTTGAAGCCACTGATAAAGTAAAAAATTTACCAGATAAAATATGGTAAATATAGCAAACAAAGGAAAATAGTCTAAGCTTTGACATTATGAACAAAAAGATTTTTCCCCAACATATATAGTATAAAAATACCATTATCAATATTCTACTTCAGCCGAATTTTTAGTCTCCTATATTTTTAGTATCATATATTTTTATTCAAGTTAATTCAGTGGACTATAGTTCCATGGCTATAAGAGTCTATTCTCTGAACAACTGTTGAAGACATGAAATATAACTAACCATTACATAATGAATGAAAAGTCACTAACTTCCCACCACAAGCCCTATCAGGATTTCCATCACAAAGTGTGGGCCATACTAAGTTTTCTCAAAGGACAGAATGCTAGTACGGAAGGACGCATTTAAAGTGAATGTGCTTCATTGAAAGAACAATATTTCTTAGATGAGTTACTGATTAAAACACTAGTCTAGAGAGAGCTATTGATTTTAATACCCCTGTTCAATACACTGAATGTCCAAAAAGTCAAAAACAAATGAGAAAAATAAAGGAATACATTAAGAATAATTTCATCAGCCAAGGTGTCTGAGCTGACATAAACATTTAAAACTAAGTATGTGAGAAAAGGCAACCTGATAAATCATATTAACAGTGGCCTGTTCTTCTTGAAGAATAGATTAAACAATGATAAAAAGAACTTTGCTTAAAAATTGAAAAATGCTGAAATATTAAAAGTACTTCTCAGAGGAAATACTAATAAAAAGGAGGGCTGAAACATTTATCTATTAATTACACCGGGTACAAGCATAAAACAACATGCCATTTTTTTTTTTAAGATTTATTTATTTGTGCATACAGAACTGGGGCACAGGCCAGAGGCTCAGGGGTGGTGAGAGGCTTCACCAGAGACAGAGTGG